TTATGTTATGTTATGACATCATGTCAGTTTAAATTACTTTGACATTTGGCTTTAGTGTCATATACACTTGTGTCTTTTTGTGTTGTGTTTTGCAGTATTTTTTTCTGCATTATCTATTGGAGATTACGGTGAATACTTTTAACACCGATAACCGTTCAAAGTTCAAGTGTTTTTTGGGGGTTTTTTTGTTCTTAAAATGATTGGCAGTTGAAAATATTTGATTGTGCTTCGGGATAATTTTTTCCATCTGGACGGTTTTTTTATTGGCCGCTCTAACATGTTTTCGCATTTAGTAATTCGTATTGATTTGACATTCTGCAACAGTTTCATATCCAGTAAATTATTTTCAACAAAATATTAGATGACACGCTATGCGCGGTGTAAATTGTTTCATGACAAAAACCAAATGTTGAAAGTGCAGGATGACATGCAATGCACAGCTGGAATTTTTAGCGATTGTGAAAAACTGCATAGTATAAGATTGTATACCTCACGCAAAGGCTTTATACCCGATTTTCAGATTATTAGGCGTTCAACATATATATTAAAACCAGATTAAAGCTCGATTTATCAGCCACCTGTGGCCCCGACACTGATTTGAGCTTGTATTAATCAAAACAGCACTGACAGTCTCAGAACTCCAATCATCGCCTGCTAAGAATATTTGGCCATCTTGATTTTGTCACGTGATACCCTAACTGTTTATATTTTCAACACCAGAGAGCTGTTGGTAATTACCTATCTAAGAGATATAAGCCGGTGGGTTACAGAGCATTCCGGTCATTCAAAGACTGTATACCTTGCTCTAGCATAGTTGTTTTCCTTTGCTAGTAAAGAAGCGAGTGTGTAGATTAGACCCAGATGAGTAGATAGTTGTTTGTATGTCACGATGGTGGGTAATATTCAATACTTGTTTATATCTATATCCCACGATACATATGTAGTTAATAGTATATACACAGACTAATACATACGTCGATACACTAATATTTATAACGGTAAATCTCAACCGGATAACACGATTCCTTTGTGTCACATTATATGGGAAAGAACTCCGTGTGGGGTGGGGGCGCTTTTAGATAACATGCGATTTTTCAAAGAAAACGCACAGTAATGTCTAGTGGGTTGATAAAGAGATGCAACATACTCTATATCGAATATGATGTTGGCAGTGGTCAGTCACTAGGTGTTTAGGCAGAGAATGCTCGAAGCTGACAATATTTTGTTTCCTTATTAAATATTTAACATATTATATCTATGTTGAGCGTAATAATTAACATAAACAAATAATAAAATTCTACAAAAATATTAGTAGACGACTAACCTTTTTGCGATCGACCAATTTCATTGAATTTTCTTTTTTTAAAGAAAAATATGAGAATTGTTTTGTCTGTTGTCATCATAAGTTTGTCTAGAGTTGATTCAAGGGAAGGAAAATTGGCAGCTTTTGTTTGATTAGAAAAATAATTTAACCTTCTTCATCGACTTGCACTTAAAGAAAGAAATTGGGTTTATTTCCGTGATGAATAATGCTCTTGAAATAGATAAGGATGTATGTATAAACGAGATAAACTTTTATTAACCGGTTGATCATAAGTTTATATTACTTTACTTGTTGTTTACAGAGGGTGGTTTTACACTGGGTTATTGCAATGGTTTTATGAAAGTACTATTTGTCGTTGTGTTTGAGGTTTCGTGTGCAAATTGATACCACACGTCATATATTTCTTGGCAGTTGGAATTTAGCTTAAAATCACATTGTCTGGGGGAATTTCTCCCCTCGCATCGCAGTTGTCAATGTATTAAAATTGAATTCAGTATATGGTTGTGTTTGTGGAAAGAGTGCGTGGGTTTGGCGTGGTATTTTCTGAAATGAATAGCACCATTTTTACATTGTAGGTTTTAATTTTTGGTAAGCTAAGAATGAAAGTAGCTAAATTATATTTTCGTTTACCCAAGGCTTCGTGGTATAACCATTTAACAAGTTTTATTAGTGAAAATGTTACCGTCGAGATAAATTCCATTGACAATAAAAACTTAATATAAACAACGTAGATAATCTCCAATCTCGCTTATTCTATTGTGCTATTTCTGTTAGTTTAGTTTAGATTTTCTCTGTTCACTCTTCTCTTATTACGAAACATGCTGTAGCGTTATTTTTATAAGTCTTCTTGGCACTACCAACGTTTTTAAAGGCCAACGTCTACAGTATAAGCATAACGTTACGCCGTGTGACCAAGAAAATGGCTGCCCGTGTTCATCTATCATCGCTAATGAATCGTCTGCTTTCAATTCTTGTTATTTATAAATAATTAGGAAAATGGAAAGAAAGATGTATATCAATAACAGGTTCAACCAAATTATATCTAATGGGAACGTGACCCACTTCGTAATGGCCGAATCAAAGGAAATTAAACCTCAATTAATCGGAAAATCCCGGGTCTATCTTAAATAGAACAGTTATTTGGTAATAAAATAACCTAGTGCAATGTAAACTGAGACCGGAACAAATTTAAAAAATAGAATATGCTATATTATTAGAAAAAGCAATGTATGGATATAATTTACATTGAAAGTAAATAGTGTAAAACGTCTACGCAAAACAACTAGATAATTCCTACATTAATATGATGATTTTTTCAAAGGTGGACGATTTGATCGGATAACCTGGATATTAATTATTATCCATGCACAATGTTAGGAATTGGACACAAAATGGACACCAATAGCTAATATGCATATTATATTTCACGGCGTAATCAGGCCACACAAACCCTTAATGTTTTTATGGAGTTGTTGATATTTTAAATATCGTAATTGGTAATACTAAAACTAATAACCTCTTCCTGCACCTGGATTACACATTTCAATTAATTTTATTTCTCAACCCGCATCGTAATCTATAAAAAAATTAGAGCACCTTGAATGTTGGCAAACTGTAAACCACGTAAAACCTACTTAGTATCTTGTACCATTCATTCATTCACCGTACGATTTTAACGAAATGGCGGAAACTTGATCACCTTCCCAGTTGTTAGAACATAATATACCGCCATTCTGCCATTATATCACCCGTGTTTCTGCTTTGAATAATATTGTTTAGACGTGTAACAGGATTGACAGATATCCCCAAAAACTATTTGATGTATCTTTAAGACGGTTTTGTTATATATTTTGCCAGTTTCTTTTTAAAACGAGACCATAATAAAAGTCCTCGAACCATTAACTCCACTATAAAACAAGTATAATTTTAGGAGGCTGTTGAATCTGTTTGGTTTTAATAACAGTTTACATTTGGCGAAAACGTTTACCCCTTTTTAATAGCATGAACAGTTGTTGATGTATTGCATTAAAAATCGAAAATTTCAATGTTTTGGTAAAGCGAATGTTTATTTTCAGCTATAATATCGCCATAAAATAACAAAGAAGTATGCGCCTCCAAACGCTATCTATGTGTTCCTTAAGAATTAAGAGACACATACCAAAGGTTGTATAAACACTTCATTTTTCCTGTTACAAAGATCCAAAAGAAAAAAAACTTAGGTTTTAATTAATAGTCACTTAAGTAGTACAAGAATGCATTTGAGTCTGAGGACCAATAACACCCTCGAAGTTTCTAGGTTGTTATTACTGAGATTTTAGTGAAATTTAATTTTGTTTTCGAATACACAATTTTGCTGCATTTTAATTTAATACCTAATGATAAATTCCGATTTATTCACTTTCTGGGGTACGTTTTTAAACTTAGTTTTGAAATACACAACAAGTACACAAAACTTTTGGATGTCGATTTCACATTCTTTATCATTTTGTGATAATATAAACTCTCACCTGGTCTTTTTTTATAAACCTGACTATATTAATTATATACTTATGTATCTAAATCAATAATTCATTTGCATGTATTTAAAGTAGATTACTAACTCAAAGGTAATTTGTGCTGGGAGTTGAAATGCCTCACTAATTTATGTATGTAGATTATATAGATTATTTATAAAAGAAGAAAATGTGCGTAGAGTGTGGTTTCCATTGGGTTTTTTTTTCAATATTCCATATTTCAAATGGAAACATATGGTTTTTCTGGTAGGGGTTATAAAGTACTTTTTAATTATCATACATTTAACAAAAGTAAAAACTAGTCATTACTCAAGACGATTTGATTGGATTTAACCACCACCTATGCTCAAATAGATCAATTTAATATTTAGTAAAGTTAATTGTTGCCTCTTTTATTGCCTTAAGATCTGCATATGGTTCCCAGAAATCAGTATTAAAATTACTTTACATCTTACTCAAATTATTGGCATTAATATTGCTACAATTAACTGAAATCATTAAATTAGTATTGGGGAATGGTGTGTTTGTAATTAGGACTAAAATTGGAAGTACAGGTGCACATGGTTGTCTCATATACAAGATGATTTTACAATAGTACTCCAATAAATTAAATCGTTATGCGGATATGCTAATGTGGCTTCGTCTACGATTTTCGTTTACAACCAGTTTATTACTTAATATAATAATATATGATTCGGTATAGTATAAACAACCCCTGCCGTAAGAATGCGATGTTGAGGAAATTGACCAAGTATGATTAAATGTGTCTTTGTCGGTGTATTTTGTACCGTTTGAGTTCATTGGTTTTGACAGTATATTGAACATATACCTCACATGAGTATTAAATGCACCGTTGGGGACACGTGGAAAAATTGTGTTAGCTTTATATCAATTTCCAATTCAAAATATTATATAAAACGACAATGATATCACAGATCCCGCCATATTGGGTGTGACAGTATCGCTATACGATATGACGTAAATGGAACCAGATGCCCCTATAGGTTCAAATACACAAACCGTTTCTTTGTCTCTGAATGTCGACATGGGAACCACGTGTGTCCTTTTATCAATTCCAAAAGTATAAATACATCTAAAGATACGGAGAGAGAATATACAATTCGGTTAGTTAACCATAATTTTTGTTTTCTTTTTAATTCCAGATAATGTCGATCAGTTCCAGATCTCCGTCAAAATGCGACAAGAACAGAAAAACCTGCCCACCTGGTAAGTTCTACTTTCTTTTTCTAGAACACATGATAACACTCGTCAATTATATATGGCTTAACACTTTCTGTTGTACTGTAGTACAAGGTATATTTTGTAACCGGTTTTGTTCATTAGATAGATCGTGTTTACAAGTGGCTAAGTGGAGGGGACGCTGTGGCGAGCTGTGCGTCATGGCTTTAAGTTACTGCGTCCCCTTGAGGTTTTGCACCCCTTCCAAATGGACAAAACACGTTTTAATGCGGTTTTCAAGGCTATAAACATAATGCTAACTAGGTATAAAACATATACCGTGGTTTAGATATACTAAAAATCCACTCTAGCATTTTGCACACATCTCAAAATTTATCGGTGCCGATGAGAGAAACCGCTCCCACCCCACCGATATAAATATTGGGTTTTGGAGCCCCTGTGGGATCTTGTCCATCGTACAAAATCATGGGTCATCTCGGACCGTGCTTACCCTTTAATGATCAGTTCATACCACGTCTTCTATGCTGACATTTCACACACCTATCATTATGTTTAGTACACTAGGATATTAGGTCGTGTTAATGAGGTAAAATTTAGCGGGATATTGTTGGGAGGTATCTCAAGCGTTTGACACGAAGTATTGTTATCTTAAACGGGTTTACCAGAACCCATACTGTTAACTATGAAATTGCACAAACTGGCAATGCAACAATGCGCTGTGATTGAAATACAAACATTTCACAACAATGATGGACGTTAAAGCTACTTGAAATTTTTCAGCTTTGATCTAAAACGCATACGTAAACCAAATATACATTTAGTCGTGTACAGAAGGTTGACGCGTGGGGTATATTAGATATCTCTTATCCAGCAGCAACGGACGTGTGGTGACATGATCGAAGCCGTCACGTGATTTAAAAATAATGTCTAGATGAGTGCTAAATCTTGATTACAAACTTATACATAGAATGAAATCGAATTAGTCCTGAAAAGTGATGGGATAAAAGTAATTGCAATTGGGGTTAAGTTCTAAACGGCACTGCCAAGCTAATACACAAGTGTGTGACGCACGCAGATGATTTGTTGTTCATATTTCAATCGGATGTGCACGGTGATGCATTCTGAAGTTGTCTTGTGCGGCCTACGTGAAGATTTATGATATACAACATATCAACATGCACGGATTAAATATGTCTGTCTCCTAGTGTTTGAATGAGAGTATGTGATGTATTAATTAGTTGTGTGTAGCCGTATACCATACACCCAGCGCGTGAGAACGTAACATAAATATCTGATTCTCAGATTCTGCTTCTCATCCTTCATCAAACAGACACGACACGACGTGTTCTCAAAGGTCTATTGTTCAAAAGGTGGACGCGACGTTATCCAATCTCCCCTCAGTTCAAAATAAAATAAAAATTCTTGAAAGACAGATATCAAGATGGGTTAAAAATTAATGATAAGATGTTTCCAATAAACAAGAGAGGTAACGAACAACTGAATTAAACGAGGAATCTATCAACTAATCTTTGATCTTCTTAATTACACATAAGCCTTCTTTTCTAAAGTTGTCTTCTTTGTTGGTCTGGAGCCCGGTTTGGGGTAGTAAAGATCTCGGTGATCAAGAAGGTCTGTCGGTAAAACTCCTTGTAATGGATAAGCTGCTTTTAAGCTCGAGTTAATCACGAGAGTTGCTTCCCATTCGACCACTCGATTTCTCCCTTCTTTTGAGAGCCTCAATTATAGAGAGTAATGGAGAGGAAAGGAACATAAAGATGGCTGTATCGACTTGTCTAGCCTAGCCATGTTGATTAAGCTACTTGAACCTTAATGAAGATATCGCATTGATCAGAACATCCATACTTCAGCCTACAACCCGCGTTACGACGTAACCTGGCGATCGATAGCTTCAATACCGGACAAACTAATGCATCGAGGGTCGAAGCCTCCTGAAAGAAGGATTAAAATCGTTTCATAGACACAAATATACGATCGACAGGAAATATCGAAGAAAGATTTATTTTTGTTATTTTCACTAAGTGCTGCCCGAGGATTGATTTTATGGAAATGTTCAATGCTCGAACCCTTTTCCTGCATCCTGTTAAGAATTTTATTAATACGTTACCATGTAAATGTCCATGTAACGCCATAATATGAAATGTAGCCTATTAATGGTGGAAAGAAATTAATCTAAGTATATGCTATCTTAATAGTCACTGCATCATGTAGAATGTTTATGATTAATGTCATTTTTGGACAGATTTGAAGTCGTAGATAATTTGTCTTTTCAATTATAGTTTAATGGGGTATCTGAAGGAATCGATTCCGTGACTTTGGGGTGTTTTAAATACGCATTTATTGCAAATTCAGATTTAAAGATACATTATGGGAGATTAAATAAAGAGCTGGCAGTTCTCACTATAATAGTTAAAAACTAGATACTATAAAGGGAATTTGCTGAAAATTTCATTCAAATTGATCCACTATGAACAGAGATTTTAGCGATTGAATTTTTGGCCTAGCATCGATCATCATTACTAAAGTCGGTAGGATAAAAAACATAGTCTCGATTATCCATTCCATGATTAAATTATGGATGGAAGTAGAACAGCAAATCGGAACCTAATCCAATAAACATCGCAGGCAAACGATGCCATCGAGAGTTGATTATGGTCTGGATAAGTTGATTAATGTCTAATTAATAATTTAGATAACATTTCGGGCGTAAAGAAAGACCTGCAATAGGCAGATTTAGTTCTTGCATAATGTATGTTAATTTGTGATTTGAACTATTATGTTTGGTATTCGCATTATAAAATGCTATATCTTCCTAAAAACGCCTTTAACGTTGCGGGCAAAGCCTATCAACAATCACCATATCATTGCAGAATCGAAGCCTCTTCGTCGCCGAGAACATCAGATATCCCTTCTAGAAGCATATGCATAACGAAAATTTTTACTGTGTACATGCATGTATATGTCAGCCACTGCATTATGTCAAAGTCACCGCACCCATATGTTACATAGATTGATTCCAACACCGATCCCTTACTGATAGACACCCACTAGCGATTGGCAGAAAACCTATCGTTTCCTTAAAGAAGTCCATATTAATACCTTCAGCATTAAAGTCTCAGACACACTGCACATAACATTAAAATTAATAGCCTTGGATTCAGAAGAGATCGTTATCTCTTTCAAGCAAAACCATCCATCCATACATAATATGCATAGGTCATAGAAAGATAATAAATCTCAACTTCACAAAAGCAATTTCCCCACGAACAATTTATTCTCGTACGTCAAAATATCTAATTTTGAATAATTAAGATTTTCACACTACGGTCAAAAAAATATATATACACTGCTGTTACGAATATACATGAATTTGGATTTAACATAACATTTTACTCATTATTGTTGCGTTTTATCTATGAAATCGCTACATTAATGTACCTCTCTACAAAGCAACGAGCTCGCGCATTATCGTAAGAAATTCGCCCTTGTGCTTCTTTGCATAAAATAAGATACACAAAAAGTTTCATGAGTGCTGAAATGAGTAAAGAATCTCTTGAAACCGCTACAGTAATGTAACCTAAAGATCACCGAGGTCACAGGCATTACCATAAGAATTTCGCTGTCGCCGTTTTTGCATATATTAAGATATACAAAAAAGGTACACAAGTGCTAAAAAGTATAAGAATCTCTTAATTTAATTCAATCTAAAAAAGGGTAGTATAAGCCAGAGAGATCCCTGTTATTTTTAAATGACGATGTGTATCAGGAAATTATAAAACGAACTCAAGTCCATGGAACTAGCATTTCATAATATTACTAATTGTATCATCGGCAAATATATATGTCTTATTTTCAAAATCTGTTTCGATTTAATTCAATAAATATTAGTCTCCAGGAACAGGCAGAATAAAGGTTAGACGTATTTATACGTTTCTTTTAAAGATTTTGTGGCCATACAGTTCTCGTCTAGTTTGCGTTTTCGTTGTTTCCAGCTTAGTTACATGGCTTCATTATTTGACAAGTGCAAGCTACATGTAAAAATAGTGATCGCCAATGTTAAATAATATGGTATTTATTGAATATTTTCTTTGGAAACGAGGAATGTGATCCAGCATTTAGTCGATTTAAAGATGGTTCCGTAACTGACAAGGGACAGACATCAGTGTTAGCTTTTAAAGATCTGTTCAGTCTTGCAAGACGCCATAGAAATTATTTAGAGGCAATCTCCGTAAAGAAACGAATTGATTGACTGTCAGGCTGTGTATGAAGAATAAGCAAAGCGGTCTTCCTGAGCTTATGGTTTAATGTTTCTTGGTATTTTGTAATTGTGTTATGGATGACTAACTTTCGCGATTTGAGAAGGCTATTAAGGCATGACTTTGATTTGACGGACTCATCTCTCTAGTTGCTCTGCATGAGGCTATTTTTACTGTTCTTAATAATATTGATATGGAAACTACCATGCGTTGAGAGATCTAAAATCCCAGCGAACAATAAAAAGGATGCCTTCAGATACTCTACAGGCGACGCCTGGCTTGCAATTTTTGAAAGTTTGAGTGATTTTTACAAATAAATGAACTCACAAAATTGGTCATAAGTTCACGAAATGTAAAATACCGTAGAAGATAACACTCTAAATCCGAGGTTTATCATTTTAAAACTATTCGCTCTTTTAAACATTCATTGTGTCATTGTACTAATGTAATGTAACGTAAACTTCGACCAAGAAATCGATCAATGGTGTCATGTCATGTTGATGCCAAGCCTAGTACTGAAGTGAACTTACACCAATTTACTGACAGATATTATCAAAGCATAGAGTCCTACGGGGCTTTTCTAAAACATTTCATAATGCAATTGCAGTAGCATATTACTTTATGCCTCCTTTATTATGAGAAATCCACACTCTCAAGGGGTTTATATTTCCTTTTTATCTGCTTTAGTTCGGTCTTGAACTAGAAATTTAAAACGACATTAAATATGAAAATACAGTTTCATAGAAACGTTATACGCAACCCTTTTTTTACCCCGTAGGCAGAATGTAGGTTGCCTAGTTTTTAACCTTGTGCGGTATTTTGATTTATTTAATGTGATATATGGGCACCCTTGTAATACTCCCACACTGAAATATAATCGTATAATGTCACCCCTGTCCGCCCGCCGACCCGCCCGTCCATTGTCCCTCGGCATGGTTGTGAACGCTCTAGACGTCTTGGGGCTAAAGTAATCATCCGATTGACTTTAAATTTATACATATACCAGATAAAGAAGCCCATAATTACTACTGAAATATTGCCTATGATCTCTTTTTAAAATATTACGGACGCTCTCGTGACTAAATTTTTATTCGCATTGGTTTGAAATCAATACACATTGTTTATGTGAAGAAGTCTTTTGATCTCCAACGATTTACGATAACAAATTAGCAGTGTCTCTGTTAAGATCGATGATGTTTTGTTATTCTTTCCTACTTATAAAGATCGAACATTTTCGAAAAGTAATATTGTCTTCAGTGTCTTTAAATTTTAGTGAGGTTATCTGGAAGCGGCCCTTAAATTTGTCCGTGTCAGTAGTGAGAAGTGGTGACGCCCACTGGAGAGAGAATGCATGGTGCACTGTCGACAAACTCAGCGTACATTCGACGATATCCTCCACGATGGTTAACTTTTAGTATAGGTAGTGAGAAGGAAGTGTAGTCAGATGTTCGAAAGAGGGTAAACTTGTTACGTCTTTAATCAGAGTTGTCGTTTCACAAATCCAGATTCTAGTCGACGATGCTCTCTCAGAACCACTACGTTTAATTCTCAGTACTAAAACTATGATGATATACCCGATCCTTATCAAATATCCTACTTAATTCCAGCTGTTATCAGCCATCAACACGATAGAATAACACCAGAACATACCAACTTATTATAGTGACTTACTTACAAGAATTCCACTCTCCCACTGCCAGAATGAAAGCCATCCTGCCAGTGTGCTTTTACCGTATTTCAACATTACGCCAAACGAATATGTACCCGGGAGAATGGTACACATAAACGGATTTTATTTAACTAGTCATTTAATCTGTCTACTTCAAACACATTCATTGGTCTCAATAAGGTCGATTCTCGTCCATGTACATATCTCAAAGAACGGACAATTCGCTTCTCCACACCCATACATACGTCTGCTACCCATTGGCTTGAGATAAGGGGGATGGTGTACTTTCATCGAAAATCCGTAATTTATTTAATTTTTTTTATGTGTAAATGGTTTATATAACAATTAGTTTGTAATTTAGTTTATGGGTATCTATTATTTTATGTCATAACAATGTGTTTATATTTTGTAATATGAATATTTATATAAGTCATTTTATATTATCACGTTTCGTTTATGTTATGTTACAGGATTACCTAGATATAACAATTTGTTTATTTTTTTGTGTGTCGAGAATATCCAAATAATTTGATATAGTGTGTATAAAAAAACAACTTTTCAACTGTTTATAATTGTTTGTATTTTCAGGGCATTATATGAATGAATGTGCCGACAATGAGGGATATGAATGTTTACAATGTAGTGTGGACACGTTTCAACCAAATCCCAACCGGTTGGGTGACAAGTGTCGAGTAATGTAAGTTTATTTTATATTTGACAAGTTTTAACCAATATTCAAATTATGAGAGCTGAAAACGTCCATTGATCTAGTTTATTACCTAGATCAGCTTCAAGACTCCCAACCCAATGTGCATCTGTTAATTCTTAGTCTATAAACCTAATTTAGAGTTTTTTGTTGGGCTAATTGAGTGGTGCAAGTCAACTCAAAATGTTTGTCTCTTAAAGGATACCTACGCGTTTGGAGAATGTAGAATACAGTTGCCTGTCTTCCATCATATAAAATGAACACTCTCTCTTTGGCACACACGGAACATATGCCTAGGAGATTTCAGAAATCCTGAGTTTTGCCTAAATAGAGTCATGGTAGCTTGACTAAAAATCCCTGACTGACATTCATTTGAGTCATTCCGTACATTTGGTTTCTCTTTCTGCATATTCCGAGATAAAACACATTTCAAAAATAATCCCACAGTTGAGAACTTTGACAGATTCAACATATAATCAATGCAAATTTAATTTGCCTGAAATCTGCGACGCACAGCGGCTGATCAAATTGAGATGTATCGAAATAAGTTCCTTTGAAAATCAAGAGGCAAACGGTTATGCAGCGTTGGCCTATCAACGGTGATTGAAGACTGCGGTAATTGAGCGTTTATCGTTCATTGGAGTTAAGGAACAAACTAACCACGCTAACAAATTTATTATAGTTTATCAATATCTTGAAATTAACCATAGCAACAAATACTCAACCATTTCTGATGGTTTAGTCAATTTGTACAAAGATATCAATTCATTTAGTACGATTTGTCTTCCATTTTCGATAGAATGGAGGTCATGAATATATATCAACATCATAATACAGAGCTTCTCGAAAATACAGTATCCTGTTTCCGTAAACATTTTTAAAAAGATTACTAAAGGGTACACTTTTGTAAAATTATCGATGTTTCTTCTATGAAAAAAAAAATAAAACCAAGTACGAACAATCCAAACCATTAGACAAAATTCGAAGTCCTACTAAAAAAACGGTATAGGCAAAATAGTGTAATCAGGCAAAATAGTGTAATCAGCCTATGGACTGTTCACCGTGTACAAAATACACGAAACTTTAATTCATTTCCAGTACATTTTATAGACAAAAATAATATGACCTTCCAACACACGTGCTTAACGAAGACCAGATCTCAAATAAAACTAACTAGTGAATACTAATTTATTGAAAGTGTTCCTCGAGAATCGAACAGGTTTTCCCTCTGAAAGACAACGATGCCAATTAGCAGGAACCGTGGAAGGATAATTGGCATCATGTCCATATCACTTTGAATATTATAGAAATCAACGTAGACGTATAGATGTCTCCTTTGCTCAACTATTGAGACGGGGTTCATCAAGCTATCGGCTCTAACCGTTCTTGTAATACTAGACGAATGTTCAATTTTGAACAGTAGCATTAATTGATATACTTTATAAGATACTGAAGATGTTGAGGAATAGAAAATGAAATAAAATTATTTCTACACGAAAGGGTAATTAAGCACAAAATTCAAATATATCGGTTATATATCCCTACATATCCATAGTCCTCATAAAATGCGCATGCTCTAACGTATCAATTAAAAGACTGGGATAATCGAAAACGGAAAGCGTTATAAGATATTTGTTTGAGTTCGAAGATTTATCAACATTGATAGAACTGAATAAAAAAAAAACACACACATACGAATAAAGCGCGTTTATACAGTAAATTTAAATTACTTGTTGAAATCGATAGATGATGTTAAAGATGAAAACCAAGTATATTCACCAACGAGTCTCTGCAAACCGACATGATATATTATTTTTGTATTTTTATATTAGTACATTGAATTTAAATAGGAATCTATAATGTTATTTTAGCCAGCGTGTCAGAGTATTTGCAAATCAATATAGTTGTCATCTGCGAATAACTGTCAAAGCATTGTCGCTCAAAAAGGAAATCGAACATTATGCTGTATTGAAAACGATATTGCAATCATAGGTTATCTTTCTATAATATTATTCTCACATAAGTTATCTATTTGGTCAATGGTTTAAAGCATTAAAAACAGTTGGCGAAAAACATCAACGTTGATAGAATGTCTGATTAAAGCGAACTGTTTAAGATAAAGGAATATCCAGATGTATCAAGTCCGTTGGTTTGTTTTATATCTGGCGCGAATTCAACAGGCTTGTCGAATAATTCTTCGTGGTCCATCAGATTAAAAACGATGAAACGTCTTGAAGAAAGATTGATAGAGATATGACCTGCTCCAACTCATGAAAACAGCCGCGAATCAAGTACACCTTCGTATAATCTGCCAGACATTCAGTTGATAATTTCTGTTCTTGATCTTTCTCGTTCTTCTGAAACAGGTACCTTTAAGAAACACGCCTCAATGTGAAATAGATATACATCTTTAGGATCCCCATTCTTGAAATCAAATTACGATTACTGTTTTTTATACGATGTTCATCTTTAACACCTGGAAATTACCAATGTCCTTATTGTTGCACTGGGTAATTATTATCAAGATAAGCCAAAGGGTTTGTTTATGTTTGGTTTTTGTTTCCATAACTAAGTAAAACTATGGTATAGAGTTCGTAAACTTATATAATAGAATGGTGTAGCGAGAATTTTATTTAAGAGTAAATAAACCCGCCAAGGAATGGACCATATACACCTCATTCATCTCCAACGTACAGACGTTGTCGTGTTGGGGAACCTAATAGAAGGTCACCCCCGGACAGTATATCATATTTTACTTATAACTAAAACACACGGAGTGGCAGTAAAGTACATTGTAAATAAATCTGATATATTAATTTTATCAGACTGTATCTTACGTTTAAAATTCCAATATGGCGACTGTCTGCAAAACTACACATTGCGTGGAATTAATTCCGAGCCAGTGACTGTATGAGCATATTAAGATCATACAGAACATTTGATATCCAGCTAACTGAGCTCTGCTTTTGATATAGAAGTTTCGAAAAAAAATTTGTTTAATACTTGAGGGGTGTACCCTGAAAAGTCGTTGGCACGCGTTTAAGTGAGGTTTTGTCCAGAATTCGATCATTGGATTTTATCAAACACACCCATGACCGTAGCCGTATTATTATTATTATTTGTTCCAATCTTAACTTTGATGGTGTTGACGCCATTTTGATCTTATCGAAAGAATCAAAAGCATCATAGGTATCAAATAAGGTGTTAAGTAACTTAACATGTGATAAACATATACACGCAATAACGTGATACTCCATTTTTGTCATACCTGTATCTTCTTAAGTAACCAAAATAATCTAAGCATCTCTGCTTTGATGCCTTTGTAAAACAAGCAAATCATCTTTAAACTTTTCTGAAAAGGCATTAATATCATGCCTGAAGGGCGTAGGTTTGAAGTCAGTTTCATCATATATTCTTTTTATTTTAATGACCCCCGCCTTTCAAAGAAAGCAGGGGACTATTAAAATTGGTTCATCTGTCGGCCTGTCTGTCTGTCTGTCTGTCCGTCCGTCTGTAATATCCGATTGACTTTAAATTTATACACATTATATAAGGTCATGAGACGAAGAAGCCTATTGATTTTCAGCGATTTAAGATAATTACTGCCAGAGTTATGACCCTTGATAACTTTGAAAAATCTTGTGGATGCTCTAGAGGCTAAAGTTAATATCCGGTTGACTTTAAATTTATACACAGTGTTTGATGTCATGAGACAAAGAATCCTATTGATTTTCAACGATTTCCGATAATTTCCGATACACAGTGTTTAAGGTCTAGAAACTTACGAGTATATTGATTTTCAATGAATTTTGATAACTTGAACAGCTATATCCATGATATTAAATGTTTCGTATTAAATGATATTAAATGGGACAGAACTTTATAAAAACCAAACAAATGTTAATGATTTACTGATAATTACTTAATGAGTTGTTACTCTTAATCAGATTTTAGTGTATTATAAATGTTTCATTACCGAAAAAAGTAAAAGTATGCGACAACTCTTGTTGACTTCCCGGACGATTTAGCTGCTGTGGGCGTATGTTTCGTTGCCTGGCAACCTATCTTTGATTAAGGTGCATGCATGAAAAGATAGTATTAATTACGAATATATGCAGCTTTGAAACTATATTTTCCTTAGTATCAATGGGACTTTATTTCCGCTTCCGCTTCCGCACATAAACAGTTTTCTTCACAATGACTTCTGTTTTAAACTTTCAGACAAGCGACTTACGGTATCACGAGAAGTTTAATAAAAAACTGGCATTCCACTGCGATGATTGACTAATGGTTGCTGCTACAGGGAAGCCACAATATTAACTCCAATACGTAAACGCGGGCAATGTTTTTAATTCTAGATTAAAAATTCGCCATTAAAAAAAGTTATTGTAAGAACATAACACACCAGAAGAGTAGAAAACAATAAAACACGCGTGCCAAATCAATGGCAAGAAATTTTCATAGATTGCAATAATGGCATCCCCACCTGTCGTTTATCTAAATGAGTTTTTCTCTTATCTTTTTAACAACAAGATTTAGAGAGGTACGAAATCACGGACAACTGTACATCTTCTTAACTAGAGTAGCTTTACCTGATAAAACTATGGAATTGTTATGATCTATTGAGATATAACAACACTCGGTTCGATAAATCATATATAACTTTTTATGATTCTTGGCACTTGATATTATCTATATGAAAAATTAATATTTAAAGATACATTATGGGAGATTCGATAAAGAGTTGACAGTTCTCACTATAATAGTTAAAAACTAGATAATGTAAAGGCAGTTTGCTGAAAATTTCATTCAAAATGATCCACTATGAACCGAGAACTAAGCGATTGAAATTTCCGCCTAGCCTCGATCATCATTACTTAAGTCAGTACGTTAAACAGCATAATTTCGATTACCCATTTAATCCTTAAATCGTGAAGGAAAGTTATGCAGTAAATCGGTTCATAATCCACTAAAGATCGCAGGCTAGCGATGCCATCTAGAGTTGATTATGGTCTGGATAGGTTAATTAATGTCTAATTATTAATTTAGATATCATTTCAGGCCTAAACAAGGGCCTGCAATAGACAGATCTAGCTCTTGCATAATGCATGTTTAAAGCAACGACAACGTTGAAAAATGTAGAGTATTAATTAAAAACTAATTCCGATCTGATGACAAATTTCTTAAACCAAATATTAAATTCCTCCTCGCCCGAAACAGAGCTGAGGTTGTTTGAACACGGACACTCTCGATTATCACGACTATGCTGAAAGCTTTCATGATATTATTTTGTCTCAGATGTCTCAATAAGATCACTTCAAATTATTACGCAATTATATATATATATATATCACAAAGTATATTGCGCAACGTATGCTTAATATTTCATCCAAACAAATCCCCCACTCCACTCAAAAAAACCCAACCCGGTCCGCATCATTATTATCCACAAATAAACTAAATGTCAAAATATATGTATTTTGTACTGGTAATAACCTTTACGTGTAGACATAAATATGATTTCGTCCCTCCCAACACGACACGTCGACAACGGATAATGTCAACGAAAGATCATAGCCAATCATTCAATTTCCTTTCGGTTTATTCAATAATTCTGCTTGTATGAGAGACTGGTCAAATTAAACACGGGTCTACTTGATTTCTTTGATTAATATCTTCTTGATTATTGCTGATTTGATTACTGCTTTATTAATAGTCTCGGTCAAATAGACACGTGTTATTAATATGCCATTCCAGACACTTGGAGGAAAGGCCACCGAGAGAGGAATATGAAGTCACCGTTATCCCAAATGATAGTCTCTGTAACGTCTTTTTTATTTGAGCAACCAGCCAGAATTAATCTAAAATCAATATCTAGCCGGGTTTCTTGCCTTAGTTTGCGTTTGGGGAATTGTCATACATCATTTTATTTTAAAGAAAAAGCTTTAATAGTACGCGCGATTTGATTATTTAAGAGTGACAATGAATAATTATTCATTTGCATGTATGCTGATTAATCTGAGTACGGGTTCGTTGCTGTTCGAAACTTTCTAATAATCTTTATATCTGTATTTCTACACATTATTCAGAATTAGTAAAACGTATACACGTTATATAATCAAGAATTGTTTCACAAAAAGGGATGTTGGGCGACCAAGTGGTTTACGCGCTCGCTTTAGATTTTAAGGTCTGTCATGCAGTCAAGTGGCGTGATTACGACCCCAAAGCTTGTACGTGACAATAAGTTGGATTGCCTGCCCAACCTCGTGTTTTTTTATCCGGACCCCCAGGGTTTCCCCCACTGCTAAAGACCCCTACGCACAAGCGAATTATTGAAAATAACATAGTTTTTGTCGAGTGGACGTTACCCCCCCCTCTCCCTCCCCTCTCTCTCTCTCTCTCTCTCTCTCTCTCTCTCTGACACACACATACACACACTCACACAAAAAAATTGACACGAATTAAGAGAAAAAATACACTACGTCAACGTTAATTTTTTCAGAGGTTCGCGAAGAGCATTTTGTCGCCTCCATCTATTTGTATTGTGCACATTTCTAACAAAAAATCAATTTGATCAGGTGCTGGGGTACCAAGATTAACATTTCCTATATAAATATCCCTATTATTGTAACATGTCGCTTAAACTATCCTACCAATGTTATTATTCCCAACGCCAATAACTCTAGCTAAGGCAAAACGGGGAATAAATCTATAAAAATTGGTTTACGCCAGAAAGAAATGAAAACAGCAACATAGCGATATCGGATGCCATAAATGACTGTAATAATACCCCTTTTTTAATGTCATTTCTACCAATGTCTGATCTTATCAAAATAGATACACGAAGCAAATTTCCTTCCAAATTCAAATTTGTGATAGCTTTAACAAGGTAATTTGGCTCTCTTTATCCGTCGATGTCCCGGGGTAAAAACAAATTGAAAAGCAGCAAATTTAACAAAATAGATTAGCCTCCGCGAATGTGATGAATTTTGTCTTGTAATTGAAATTGTTAAGTCGTATCGGTTTTGTGACGAATCGGACAGAAAAAAGTCTACTGAATAAAAACATCTGAGTATTTTTTTTTTTTTAGAAAGGCAAAAAAGACATAGTTATTCTACTGTATTATGACTTACCAGTTTAACGAGTTTTGATATTGTTTTTTTGTGGAATATTCTCATTTGCACCAAACGTGTAGCATTGTTGTGTTACCATCACTGTTGAATTTCGTTGAATAACGACGAAGGTGGACATTTATTGTTTAGTCTCGAATCATACATAGTTGCTGATAAGATCGTCCCTTATTGATAAACTCAAAGATTCGACGTGTCAGTGGTGTCCTGACTTTCTCATATTTTTAAAATTGCGATATCATATGCAGTTAAATTCAATTTAAATTTTAATGATATTTCATTTATTTTTTTTTTCAGGCGATCATGTGGAGATCCATATAAGGAATATGCCAGTTATGGAGACACTGTTACCGATGCTCATTGTAAATGTATGAAAGGCTTTCATTTTGAAAATGAGGACCAGAGAGCATGCGTGCCGAACAGGGAGTGTGGGAAGGGGTATGGTCAAGCTACATATGGTAAGGAGTGTCACTATTACATCATATAGAAAAAGTAGAACTAAAAGGTTTTATGTTATGCTATGAAGTTATTTTGGCGCCATCTTTAATTCTTAATTTGTTACACCAAAGAACCTCAAAATACGACAAAAAACGCCAGGCAATGTTGGGTTGAAATTAAATACCAATGTACACGTTAATTTGATCGCGTACGTTTTTCATGCTAAATTCATAACATACCTTTCTAAACACTTCTATGCCTTTACGGTTCATTCAATATTTCTTTGAAACATAACCCACCATTTTGTTTGTTTTTATTGTGGCATATGGTTGCAGATATAGGATAGTTAATGACAAGAACATAGTCAACAATTTAATTAGAATAATTAAAAAAATAGTTAGATATTCATTGCATGAGAAGCACTCTTCTTAGTCCTAAGCTTAATCATCATATTATGTAATATACTAACGATTCATCGTTATATTAGACTTTTATGTTAATACTCACGGTGTCGTATCTTTAACACACCTGATGAAAGGTTAAATATTAATTAACTAATTTTGTTTCATATAAAAATGCCAAGACTCCGTTTCCTTACATGTATGTCATGTCGACGGGTTTTGCCAAACAAAATGGAGGAATAGGTACCTTTTAAAATTTGTTGTTTTTATTCTGACCATGCATCGTGAAAGCCATATAAATTCTCTTACAGGCTACGAACTAGGAGACAGTGGTAATTATCAAATTTAGGTCATTCTTCTCAAAACATATAACATCTAACGACAAAATCAAAACAAAAGTGTCCTTTTAACATGTGTTGCTTTTTTTCGGGTGTGGTTTATGGCTATTCAAAATCTTAACGAAACCGACATTCAGAAGAAAACCATTTTACAATTACAGAGATTTAATTGACACTGAAAAATTTTTGTGACAAATTAATGACTCCACCCCATATTATTACATAAAAATATCACAGGACAGTAGTGTCATACCTTACTCACTAAGATCCCCACCACCCTCCTTTGTTAAAGTATTAGTTTTAGTATGTGTTTGTTGCTTATAACATTAGCATGGACTTATTATACAATAGATACTAAAAAAAAAACTAATTGGACAATTTATATCTCGTGACCAATTTTAATTTGCATTGTCAAAATGGGCAACTGTTTTGTTTATAGAATAACTAGAATGTAATATACTCATTTAGATTATTGTTTTAGATGTGTCATTAACATTATTTACGTATCACATAACATAGACCACATTGTGTGTAATCCGTTTTGTATGTTTCTAATATATAATTTTTATACGCCCACATTTCATGGGAAGATTATTGTCTCCCCCTCTGCACGTCTGTCCATATTCAGTGATTGTCAGCATTCCACATAATATAGTATTAAGAACTTGCTGCGGTTGTATGGGGAGTCTTGGGTGGGGGTACCTTACCCCAATGTGATTTATTTTAATGACAACGGCAATATATAAAACACTATTATATGGATAACGATTACTATGATCTATTTCACTACGACGTTTCAACAAGATTTTACAAGTCGTTATCAATGGGGATATCTTTATTAATAATGCTTATAAATGGTGGTTTGCGTGCATTAATATTGAAACTAGACTTTTCTGGTGACCCTTCGCTATTCTATTAGCGTAGCGAATAATTGGGACGTGAATTTATTAAATGTACATTGTTGTCTTTTGTCTGCTTTTTTTTAAAAAATGACCAGACATCTTTGATTCGCGTCAAACATAAAATTATCGACCTCTTTGGATTTTATATTTGATTTGTTTTATGGAATCGTAATCTGTCTTCGCTACCCAATTTGTGTACCATTCTCCGAAACAGTAAGCCAACAAATAAACTTAAATGGTATAAAACTAGTCCCATCACTAATGGAAATAAAACATCAAATCCATACTTGTTTTGACCCGAACCAAAGATTTTTGATGGTAGTGCTGTTTTGTTGGTATGCGTTGTAGAATGTGTTTCATACTTTCTATCACAAGGCATTAGGACACCTCAATGAACTATAGACGAAGTCAGATTTGTCAAGACCTGAACAAATTAATGTCACACAGAAGTTATATTAATTACGAATTAATGATAACAACGAATAGCATACCGATGAGCAAAGCTCATAATTCCAATTTCTTTCTTACTGAGAACAAATATCTCAAAACAGCATGTTGATTTCTGGAATTAGGGGCTAATTTTAAATGTGCTGTTGATTTTGAGGAACGATTAATAGACTGTGGGATATGGTGGTGGATTAAAGTATTTGTATGTGTATATTTGTTTGTACAGCATGGAACATACCCTTGATACTACTGATATTTTACTAATATTGAGCTGTGTAGAAAAAGAGTAGATGTAAAGGACCCTTGGGATACACGTGTTCCCCAAATAGCTTTAAAGGGGGCAACAAAACCTTTTAGTACTTCTCCTTTGTCTTCTGTTAGAGCTCACGTGTTCCCTCAAAGCTAATTCTGATCAACCCTTTGTATTTAAACAACACTCTTTAAATTCGAAATTGGTCCTGTTTTTGTTCATATGAAGTTCGATGACATTTAGATCTTTTGAATTAATAACTATTTGATTTTCTTTCTCAGGTGTGTGCGAATCTTGTTTGGAAAAACAAATGTATTCAGATGTCAAAGATAGATTTCAGCAATGCAAGCCACTTAGAAAGTAAGCCCATTTGACAGGATTCATATGCTTTCTTTTATAGAAATTTTTCAAAATAAGCTATTTGTTCATTATTGTTTCTTGTACAACATATTAATATATCATATTGCATTATTACCTCTATGTATAATTTTGTGTTATATTTTCAGTTGTGAAAAAGAGAATCGTTGTGTTGCTAAGAAAAGTAATGGTACTTTTGATAATGTTTGCGGCCCTCTAGTCAGAGGTGAGTAATAAGATATATGTCAATAGCTATCCCTGCTTCACTCCACTTTAAGTATACATGTACATGCCAGTACTTTGAAATAGTGTCCATTGGCACAGTAAATAAAGAATATTATAATATCACATGTATATGCATACAGGCCCAATGAGTTAAAAGTGTATGACAGATTAATAAGATTAGGAGAAGATAAACCCCAGGATTAACTATTTGGGTCTTAAAATATGCGGCTGCTATCTTTTATTTCACTGAATAACTACAGGTGTATGACATCCTTATTCTAAAACTTGGATTCTTTTTTTTAGATATAAATGATTGTAGCAGTGTTGTCGAGAAAGTAGACGATGACGTATCTAACAAATATCTTTCTGCAATTATCGGCAGTGTTGTTGGTGTATTCGTCATTGTGTTCATTTTCATTATTATATTACTGGCTAGAAGACGTAGGGCTCAAAGGCGAAAAAATGCCCAGAAACCATTGACTTCAGAGCAGTTAGAGGAATTGAAACATAAGTTATTGGATAAATGTGAAAAAGACGAATCCTTGTGTAAAAAGAGTGAGTAATTTTTTTGTTGTTTTGTTTTCTGAAACAGATGATAATGAAATGGAAAAGATTCTCTAAGGAATGCGTAATATATTGCATTCCTGTTAATTATCTTTTTTGCGTATAAAGTGCAGCAGATTTCGGTTATCTATAAGTAATAAATTCAAAACATTTTGGAGCAAACATCATGTTTAAAAGAGAAGGAATATCTTTTCAGGATTGTTGGTATGATTTCTAGAATTTTCATTGTTTTTCATTTTTTTTTTGTAAACAGCCCTATCTACAGCATTCCGAGTTACCGAAGATCGAATTGATAGACAAATATGGAATCTTCCCCAAGAACTCTTCCGTTCTCAACCTGGTAGATATGAAATTCTAGTGAAAAAATACACAGGTACTATATTTTACAACTGAAAAAAATATCAATACTGTCATGGCATGTAAAAAACGTTATTTAGACCTAAAATAGTAAAGCCGAAATCGTGACATGTTTTGGAATAGTATTATCAAAGTAACCAATCTTGTTCCCCCTGTCCCCTTTAATAATGATATTTGCTAAATTGCTATGTCTTATCCATAGACTTGTCATTGATGATTTTAAAATCATAAACAATACATCATGGTTGTTTCGAAATACAAGTTCACACACATTGTTTTGTCTTATAGAGAGTCACGAGAAATACGCTGTAAATGGTTATTTGAGAGACTGGAAAGAATGGAGAGGGTCTACACATGAATCTGTTAAAGAATTATTTTACTGCTTACGCCAGTGCAAACGTGACGATATAACTTATGAAGTTTGTAATCAACTACGTGATGAAGTTGGTAAGTAGGGCGCTGTGAATTGCGCGGATAACGATCTTTATGGTCCAACAAATGCAGTGGAATGTTTGGCTTTCGTTATTAAATTAAAGTAGCAACATTGCTATTAATTCATGAAACGAATCACGTCCAATCTTTGCCTGAAGTACAAACATATTATAGTCAACAACAGCTTACTGACTGGATTCTACAAAATCCCATATTCTTTGAATACATAGTCATAACATTTATTGGTATCCATTATGACGTTTACAGTAAGAAAAGTTATCCAGTTATAAACAAGTAGATTACCTGAGAGTTACATGTAACATCGCAGAAAGGGACTGATGTTTTTTAGAAAAAATGATTCCACTGGCATAAATATATTGACACTTTAAACGCGTATTACGTAAGAGCTAATTCTGCCTATTGAAGGTCTTTCTTTGGGCCATTTAATGATTTAATTTAAAAAATGGAGAAGCGTGGCTAAGACTCGAATGATAAGTACAAAACCTTGTCAATACTAAAACCATTGATAACTTCGCTCAAAATAAAGTAATTTGAATGAAATTTTCAATATTTGTATTTTGTATTATCTATTTTTGAAATGTTATAGCGAGGACGGCCTGCTCATCATCTAAATCTTACATAATGCCCCTTTTATTTGGATTTTCTACTCACTGTGAACAAATAAACCACTGTCTATTTTATTTATGCACTTTTAGAAACGTCATTTATGCATTTTAATCTTTGTTAATTTTTCTTTACAGATATAACATTTGATGTGGAAGCAAATATAGACGACATGGGTGGAAATAATCGTGCCAAGGATAGTTTAATGTATGACATCAGAGATATTCTCTTCCCGTGTGCAAAGCCATCCGAGAAAAAGGGTAGTTTAGGAAAGAGCGAGCAAGCTGAAACAACCCATAAACTTTTAGAGATATCCCAAAGTGCACCTGACATGGATCCAAAAGCTGCAGGTGCCATCTATCGAGAACACCCCCTCCCAAGTGCCCCAGAATATGTCGATGATAATAACACCATTATAGAGCCCAATATAGTAGATTATAAAAGACAGTTCAGCTGCCCCGTGCAATGTACGACGTGATGGGTATCTCGAGTTTACCAACTGCTTATGTCTTTCGATATACAAAGAGTTATTAATAAAGGGAATCGTGTACAAATATACATTATACTAGTGAAATGCATGTCTCCTAACTTGCCAGTTACAATACATACCTGATGATAGAGTATATTCTTCGATTGGACTTATAAAGTTCATTTAAGATGGAAAACAACTAGGAGTATCATTAACTGCAAAGGAAAACATTATGGATTAAAAAGGAGTTAGATAAGTTCATAATTGGATAATTAATTTCACTTTAATAAGACAACTTTGGGAATCCATTCAAACATTGTCTTAAGATTTAATGTTGCTTATTGTGTAATTTACCATGGAGACAAACAATTACACAAATCAAAGATTGCGCTGCGACAATTGTATATTATGAATCGAGACGAATCGAACTATTTGTCGAAACTATTTCATTTGTCCCGATAGTGTCTTTGTGGAAAGATGCTAATAAGTTGTGTTTAAACAACGTTTTGATATGCTTCAAATGTGCAACTATTTACGACATCTTTATATGTTCTAAAATAGCAATACAATAAAGATCTGATTGTGAACAATTCGTCATGGATTATAGTGGATGACTGTGCAATGATGATTGTGCATTCATTTCCATCATCATCATTTGTGTACTTGAAACAAGTCGCCATCAGAAATTGTTTCAATGGACTATTTTTAAAACTGTAAATATGACTCTTTCATTATAATGTGCTCGCGACACCTGGTCAGCATTTGAACACGTCACTTATATAGTGGCATTTTATACTATATATCCTTATAAATATAGAGTAGTTGTTACTTTTTAAATAACTCCATATATATACATAAATATATATATATATCACCTTTAGCTTTATAAATGTCCTAATCTACCGAAAAGATATATGGACTAGTGGGCATTTGGATTATCGGTACGGTGTTAAAATTATTCGTATTTTAGTTTCGTATGCAGTAATCATTTGTAGTTACATATATACTAACGTCTCACTATCAAAATTCATATCATTTGCCTTCTTGAAAAACAATTCCCTCTTCAATCCCCATCACAATCCCGAGCTAATTCATAGGTTAGAGGGTTAATCAACTTGGTGTATTAATCGTGTATCGCTTTAAATTCAATATAGAACATATAAATAGACTTGCTGTCACTTTATTTTATGTTTAATCATGTAAATAGTCATAAATGTTGGTTGACATTATAAAAGAATATATTGAATGTGCATGAGCAGTTGATGCAATAAAATTGCATTAATACAAATACACGTATATGAGCATATAAGTGGACCCAATACTTTAGTGATTTTGTTTTAAAGAAAATGATGACACTGATTCCGGCTTGTAGTGCAAGTTGTAATTTGATAAGAATTATTTCATTAGTTAGAACTAGAAATGATTCCGGTTTGTAATGCAGATGATAGGTCTGATAGATTTATTACAACTAGAAGTAACTTCAGGTAGCAAAAGACACATAACCTGAAGATTTACATTTTAATGGTTCACTTGGTGGTTTAATTAATGTTGATTTGATTCAATAACGAATTTAATTTTTAAAAACTTAAACGAATTATCACTAAATCGCTAATTCAGAAATTTTATGCTTGTTATTATTTTTTCATTATTTTGTTGTTAAATTTGTGAATAAATGAATATAAATCACCCTTCTTATTTCATACATACAATGTATGTTTCATACAACTTTGTTCATGTGTGGTAAAAATGTGTTCTTTATTATATATATAATAATATAGGCATGGCTGTACAAACTCTTTATTTACATAATTTATATTCATTAAACGGCGGTGTCAAGTAAATAATAAAATACGCATTATTGCATATCTGTATGCAAATCTAACATGACGCTATACCTAACACAGTGCATATAGAATTTATTATTTTTTATTTGTGATCCAAGGGTCTGTTGTGAGACCCTCACTTTTTAGCATGTGTATAGATGTAATTTTATCGAATCTCAAATTAACACGACTATACTTTAAACACCAGCTTCCGTAGCTAAAAGTGTCGTATTTCATATTCTTTTATTAATCTCGTTCCACATTTAGATCAAATTTTGACATGTGATCTGATTACATTAGCTTTTAAGACATTTTTTCGTACATATTTTAGTTTTAATGGTTTTAGTTATCTTAATCACATTAACTAATATATAAATTAATTTTTAAAACGTAATTATTTAAGTAGTTAGACATATCAGTTTCAATACTTTTTTAATAATCGAATATCATCATCAGTTTGCTTCTATAAAATTCCATTCTCTTCAATAATTGAATTGTGTAAATGAATTTATCTATATAATGTTTTAATTATGGACAGTAAAAGAATTGTTATGCATGTATATTTCATTTTATCATGGCTACTTGGAATAAACAACTATTTTCCAAATATGTATATAGTTTGTATTATTTAAAATAGTCTATCCGAACTCCTCATCTTCCCTGGGTCATGGAAATGATGATCTACATTGCATTTCGGGACGTGTGTTACTCTGACTAAATAACCAGCGCCTAATCTGTGACAACTATAGTTTAGCCCCTCCCCGTGATGAGATCCACGTACTACCGTCTAAGTCATCCAAGGCAGTGGTTGGTTATGTCGCTCAATATCGGTCGGCGAAGTATAAATACTACCCTGATCGGAGAGGCTGGCATTAACTATGGTTTTTAATAGCAAACCTACATCTCTTCCTTTCACTATATAATTGAATCTCTTCTTCCAACACTCTGTCGTAGCAATTTCCCAATTTTCAGTGGCCCATGCTTTTAAAAATTAAAATTAATTCATCACAATGCCTTTTATATGCAGATCTGGTTCATATTCTAGTTTTGGATAATGCAACCCTAATCCCTATAAATATTGACCACAAAAACAGCAATTAGTCAAGACAAAGACAAAGCAAGGAGAAAACATACAGTTACCGAATTGGGTTGATAAAAAATTGAGAATGGGAGAAAGCCTTTTTTCTAGTGCCAGCTATATATGAATTAGGAACAAGCCAACATCGAGGCTGGTGTTCCCCGGCTTAATTCCAAAATAAATAGATGAATGACTTTCACATTTATCTTCTTATAAAGCATCGGAAAATCAAATTGCTTATCATAATGGCCATAAACTGTTCATTATGAAACTCTAATAAAACAATACACCAAGTTTTACCCCTCTCATGCAAATGGAAACAGAGTTATTGTGTTTCAAAGCATCGACAAATAAAATTTCTTATATACATTTGGAAGTATAAACATAATATATTGAACCGTTAGTCAATAGAAATTGTTTTGATGTCAGGAATTTAATGATTGAAATCATAGTGTGATATAGATATTGGATGATTATAGAAACGGAAATAAAGTAATTTGCATTTTCTCTTACAGATTAAATTTGATGAAATATTGCAAGCATTTACCGAGTGCATTAAACGTAGTCTTGGTCTTAGCATAAGTATAGAATTACTCACAATTTGGTGTTCATCTCCCACGAAATAAAGTGTTTGTACTTGTGAGAAAGGGAGAAATTTACATAGCCAGAGAAAACGACTGTTTTATTTATAAGACCACGCTCTAATGTAATAATATATGATTCGAAGGGACCATTATCCATTCAGATACAATGGATTTTCAACCTTATACTATATTAATATTAAAATAGTTTGTCGCCAAATTTCTTATATTTATAATAATATATCCACTTACTGTCATAATTGCTCGCCCTATAGCTGCATTCATTACATATAACATGAAAATAAAACAGCAAATACCCCCCCCCCCCCCTCACACACACACACACACACCTCCGAGACAAGGTACTAATGACACAACGCTTCACAACGATATATAATACTACCCTGTTGGATTTTTATCATCAATTTGAGAACAGACCAGATCCAACATTTTCAATCGATCACGGCAAGTGAATTTGCTATATCTTCATGATAATCGTGATTAAATGTGATCATAAGAAAACAGGTTAAATTAACAATAGTAAGGATACTATAAATTATATGTTTTAATAATGTATTAATTGTAGTGACCCCAAGAATATAAAAGGCAACAGATTGTTGATATGCGATATGCACCTTCAAAATAATAGGCATAATGTTTGTCCCTGAGACAGTACATATTATACGTATACCTAAAACGTACACATGTAGGACTTTAATCCAGGTTATATTGGGGATGTTGCGGAAACCAGTATTTCCATGAAACGGATCTCTCTCTCTCTCTCTCTCTCTCTCTCCGTCTGAAAGAAAAAACCAGTCACCTCAAATTAGGACCAGTAGCCTTTGGAAATTTGACATCTAGTAAAATACAAACAATGACGCTGTTCTTTTAAACACAATCCCGTTGTTCCGAAAGTCCACATTACGCACGATTCATAGTAACAAATGTCCGTTTTAATAAAATTTACAACGGGTCTATATTTTTCATTTTTCAGATGTGAAATTTAAAGACGATCAACACAATTAATGTCACGTCAAATTGCTAGCCTGTTGACTCTATGCAATTACTACAATCTTATTAAATCTTAATAAAGACGGTAGACAAAATTCAATCTAAGCTTAATTACAAGGTTTACAGTTATACCGTTATCTTGTTTCAGAATAGATTCAAGCCTGTTTTATGTTTTAGACAAATATAAGTTTAAAAATTCACCAACGACATTACTTCATCTAGAATAATAGTGAAACTCGATTTGATGAATGGAAAATAAATATAGATACGCCAACATAAATCTCATTCAAGGCTTAATGTATTTCTAAGTATGCGCGTGGGGCACATCGTGTGGGCATTTCACTGCGTATAATACATAAATATGCATCGTTATTTGTAAAATGAAAGTCTTGCAAATTAGTCTTGCAAAGTATCCAAGAAAATAGAAATCCAATACCGCCAAGAGATTTGGGGGTTGCCAAGAATCTAAGGCCTTTACATAAAGAGAACACGTTACAATATATGACCATATAGAATAACAGTTAATGGGTTATTCCATAATATACAGCTTTTTAGTATGTTACTATTCAATTGCTAACTGCCATCCAAAGAACAATAGTTGAGTTGGTGTCTTTATACAGACACTGCATATTGATAATTACCCATGACAGTTGGCTGTCACAGAGTGTTAACCCATGTCTTTGTGCTAACATAATTCAATTTGAAAAATTTCCCAAATATTTCTATCTGAAAGGAGTATTTTAATACAATCATCATGTTGAACAAAAACATAATAACCTCCCCTTAAGGTTAACGAGCTTCTTGAATTACCGTGTTCGCCTAAAATTCAGGAGTCTTGGTGCCTTCCCTCTTAAAAGCCGGAATATTGAAACCATATACAGGGACGGCTTAGAGATGTGATGCAAATAATGAGAGACAACTATCTCGATTCCATCTTTTCTATTAGATTTTGATTGATTTTGGTGAAGCGCTTTAATTTACTTGTGACAACTTAGTTTCCATAATTTCGTTAGCAGACAGGGGGCAAAGTCTGTATTAACCCCTCATATTCCAGTTAGCCATTTTCAACTCAATATCATCACCGTCGGCGTCTATGTTGGGATGAGATTGAAAATAAAAAGAACCACACGTGTTCATTTTGTATAATTAAGTCAAACAGGTTGGTAATCTAAACAAAATGAAGATCCAATTTAACAAAAAGTGATAGAATTGAAATTATATGAGGATTTTCGCTCAACATTCTACTGCAGATCAAACCAAATGAGAAAATTTGTATTGGTTTTTCTAATTTTGCGCAATTTTGGGCGTAATTAAACTAAACTGTTTTATATTATATAAATTGAAAATTTAAACATGACTGAAAATATAAATCAACATTTACTCAAGTGATTTAAATCCCTTCATTAAATCGAATTTTGAAAAGCTGAAAATATAAATCAACATTTACTCAAGTGATTTAAATCCCTTCATTATATCCAATTTTGAAAAACAGGAAACTATGCATGGATCGAAATTTAATGAAGAGAAGGGAAAACAGTAAGCTACATAGAGTATTGAAGTGTAATCAGAGATGTTTGCATCCATCTTACTGTTTTGACGAGGCATTAATCCTCATACCATTTCATTCAAAGTGTTGTTTTGTAAAGGTAACGGGCCAAAACAAATATCTTAAAGACGCATTAATACTGAAAAAATATCATATGAGCCTACTAGCTGTCTTGGGGACATGTTACAAATCATAAGTTTGCTCGCACTCAAATGCCACAAATCAGACACTCTTGATTTAAAGAGCACATAAAATGACCAGAACAAAATAATATATATATTATGTACTTAGAGCCTGTGTTTATTACATTCAGTAATTTAATTCAAATCAGTTCATAATTAATTGGGGCATCTTCGCTCAACGTCGCAAATATAGATCTACCCAAAACGTTTTTGCAAATTATCGAAAACGCTCTCCCCCCCCCACCCCCCCCCCCCCCAAAAAAAAAACAAACCAAACGCCGAATGCATAACTATAGCTGCGTTCACACTAGGGGTTTAATCTGAATTGAATTCAGAATAAAGCCTTATTCCGGACTTTGGCGTCACACTAAATTCGATAAAAACCGAATTGAATCTGAATTAACGAATCCGTATATTTTTTCCGAATTCAACTCGGAACAATTATTCCGAATCGGGTTATTCGCAGTCAAGATTTGAGTGTGACACGCTTGAATCAGATCATTTTTACCGGAAACGATAACTTTGCGCGCATGATGAGGTGTAGCCTACATAGCTGCAGCCCTTCGTCACTGAAACAAATGCTGCGTTTACATGCCAGCTAATAATAGGTTGTCATGCAACGAAACATACGCCTTCAACAAGGGTTGTGGCATACTTTTCCCTTTGTTAGTAATGCAAACATTTACAACACACTAAATTCTGATTACGAGTTCTGCCCTATACTAACATTTTATATCATGGGCATAACTCTGGCAGTAATTATCGTAAATCGTTCAAATTCAATTTGATTCTTCGTCCATGACCTTAAACACTGTGCATAAATTTAAAGTCAATCAGATATTGACATTAGCCTCTAGAGCGTCGGGCGGGGGCGACGACAATATACGACCACATTTCAAATACAAAGATAGGAGTGTTCGAATTCAGATCACAGCTGACCATTCACGGTCTAGACCTTGGGTGAAGGGCAGGTAAGCTTTAGTCGTCTCGAGTCTAGTGGAGCCTAGTCTCTATCATGAATTGCATATGACAACAAAATGTATTGCTTTACATTATGTATGTTTAGTGCTGAAAGGATTTGAATTATGAAATGGGAGCCACGATGGTTCAGTGAGTAAGAAGCTGGCTCCATAGTCTGGTGGTCGAGGGTTCGCTCCCGGTGTTGACCGAAAACGTTCATCGTGATTTTCCGGCGTGGTTTCCC